TGTGTATGCTAGTCCCTGGCAAAGATGTCAATATATATTTCTTAAAATGGATATTCAAGTCAAACAGGTGTTAGATTCTATAAGAACTGATTACATATATTAGAATGATCTTGTTATACCCAACTCAATTAGAGTTGAGAGAGTAGGTAGCACACTCAGGACACAAAGCTCTTTTTGCGCAGGCATTATATCACAAACCAGCTGCCAAAATGACCTGCCATAACCTTAAGACCAGTTTTACCTAGTAACTGCTGGAACAAACAGCTCTTAGTCTGAGATTTGTTTTACCTACCACTATCACTCACCAGTCAGAGCATGCCAGCTCCCCAAAACTTTGTTCATGCCAATGAGTTTTTTAAGGTAATATGTAACATTATTTTTTTCTGATAAAATCCCCAACCTTCTCTTCATTCTTCAGACATACCCAAAACTACTCAGGTCTATGGATATGCCTTGAATTGTCATTCTGTCTTTACATACACTCCAAAATAAAACATTTTGCATAGAGATTCATTTCTATATATTTTTTTGGCCACAACCAAATGATGAGGTGCCTTTTAAAAGTGGTTTAAGCAAGGTGTTAAGCTTTCTAAATAGTTCCTTGGACAACCTCTGCCAGAACTCCAATGAAACTTACTAAAGAAATCCCTAAGGCCGGGCACGGTGGCTCAAGCCTGTAATCCCAGCACTTTGGGAGGCCGAGGCGGGCGGATTACAAGGTCAGGAGATCGAGACCACAGTGAAACCCCGTCTCTACTAAAAATACAAAAAAATTAGCCGGGCACGGTGGCGGGCGCCTGTAGTCCCAGCTACTCGGGAGGCTGAGGCGGGAGAATGGCGGGAACCCGGGAGGCGGAGCTTGCAGTGAGCCGAGATCGCGCCACTGCACTCCAGCCTGGGCAACAGCGTGAGACTCCGTCTCAAAAAAAAAAAAAAAAAAAGAAATCCCTTCTGGCATTGTTATCACTTTCTGGTAAATTGCATATCAGCTTCCCAACCATTATGAAGATTATGATGGCAAGCTCAATATGAAAAACTTTTAAAGCCATTTGTATTTACACACATATGCACACATGCAAATATAGATTTACTTATATTGCATATTAGATTTATATATTTTTCATATTAAAATTTGGTTGTAACTCTTGCATATAAAAACAAAAGCCTTAAGAAAATAAGTAGATACAATATTTTGATGGGCTTATATCTTCCATTTTTTTAATGAAAGTTTCTGACTTGAAGAACATTTGCCAGTGGTAGTGCTGAAAAAACTGCCAGAGCTGACTTTCATTATGTATCCCTTAATCTTGATTCAAGGTCAGGGCTTTCAGCAGTGCAGCTGGGTCAGCTCAGAAGCTTGTGATCAACCAGTTCTCTTGGAAATTGCTGCTTTTCTTGAGATAGAGTTGATGTCCATTCAGGATATAACTATTTAGATTTTTGTTCTTTCATCAGGAAATCTTAATTGCAAGTAAGTGGGAAAATACTTTGGAAATAAAAATTGATAATTTTAAATATTTAAGGTGATGAATATCCTAATTTCCCTGATTTGATCTTTGCACATTGTATTAATGTATTACATTATCACATGTATCCCCCAAACAGGTACACATATTAGGAATCAATAAAAATCAATAATTCTAAATTTTAATGATTATAGACAGTACAGTACAAAGTTGCAAGGTTAATGTAAAAATGTTACTTATGTTGATTAGTGTAATGAAGATGAAATGGACAGAGGAAAGGGTAAGGATGTGTTGAATGAACAATCAGACATTAATCATAAAGTTTTATAATTAAACTGAGTTCCTAGTCAACAAATGTTCTAGTTTTGATAGATACATTTAGACCAATAAGTTTTCCCTGTGATTATTTATATTTTTATTTTTTTTATCTCATGTCAAAACGGCTTTTCACCAGGATCTCTTTGAGTGCAATACTTTTAGTCTTATACTTAAAAGAGGGGACAGATTTTACTTCCATGTTAATGAAATATGTACACAGTAATCATGTATTACAATTGCTGAAAATTTGACTGACATCCTTCATAAGCAACAGTCATTTTAAATTACATAACCCAAATGTAAGTGTAGAATATTTACTTTCAAATTATTTAATTGCTTGTATTTTCTCCTCTTAAAGGATTTGATATACTGAAGCATTTAGGCAATTGTAGAGCCCCAAATTAGTTAATGTTCCAGTATTATACAAAAAGGATTTGTTGATTAAATTGAATTCTTGTTAAATGAATAAAAATTACTTTGACAAATTCTGAATTACTTCTTGTATCTCTTGAAAGATTTGGTAGTTTGAAAAGTGCTTATAGTTGAAAATTAAAATAATAGGATTGGGTGCCATTTTTGTCTTCCATTTGATTACAGTAAATGTATTCTCTCTGAGTATAGCTAACAGGTATATTATCTTTCCCTATGTATATGTCATCATCTTTATCATTAACAACAGATATAAATGCAATCCTCTGGAGGGCATTGGGCATAAGAGAATATGTCATATGGTTTATAATTTATATAGAGTTATATTCCTTTTAATATTGAGTATAATAGTGACACCTACTGTGCATAAATTTAGTCATTTAGTAAGCATTTGATAAATATATAGTGCAACATATCCAAAGTCTGATTTCATAAGTGTTCTGTGACAAGATGACAAAACAATATTAGTCTTCCTATTAAAATGCTATGAAGAATGAATCTATCCATCCCAAGCAGTTTACAAGATTAGTGTGATTTTAATGGATTAGTATTAAAGTTAATAACAAATAAAATTAGTAACAAATAAATATAACTGTATTAAATTATTCTAACATGAAGCTATTTCTCTTAGAAGTGATCTGTCAATTCCTCTGATGTTTTTCTTTACTAAATCTTCATTCACCTTGCATCATAATTTCTTACTTTCATAGAATTTGATTCATGGAGGGTCACATTAGTAATAGCTTATCCACTATCCATTTAGTTTTTCTTTAATTGTTTTAACATCGTTAACTTTAAGCAATAATCAAGCACTTCCCACTCTGAGCAACAAAATAAAAAAAAAATAGCCACTTAGAATGCACATTTCTCAGATAATTGGTTAAATTTGTGAAACGAGAGGCCCTTAGACTGAGACAGCTCCAACACCCTGGGTTCCTGCATAAAAATGAAACTTAAGCTCAACCAATCACAGGCTAGGCATTACTTATATTGTTTTAAACTTCTTAGTGGAATGGTTCAAATAGCCCAATTGCTCAAACTTCAAGCAAATTATTTTCCTGCTTAGCTTCCACTTCACCCTATGAGAGCCTTCCCCTTGTGCCCTTTTACCTGAGACCCTGCTCTCTTGCAGTCTAGAGTGGCCTGATTCATGAATCACTATCAGCTCAGTTACATTCTTTAAAATTTTAATTTGCCAAAGTTTATCTCTTAACATTATTTATAAAAATACTTTGATGAATGTCTTACCTCTGTGTTTTATAAAGAAAACACATAAATACTTGTTGATGCCTGAATTTATATTATATACTGAAAAGTAATTATTCATTTAATAGGTATACATGTAGGATCTACACAACATATTGTAGGGTGTTGAGATTAGTTTTACTTTTCCTCTTAACAATGCATTTCAGTGGAGAAAATAAAGTTTTTATTCTAGCTTCCTCCTTTAGGAATTTAATTTTCACCAGTGCTGCTATAAACTCTAGAAATAGTACTTTTAGTCAACTTTCCCCTTGCTTAGTCTTCTCTGTCCATCCTTGTAATCCATTTCCTCAGGTCTAAGTGCAAATTTTTATAATAATTAAGAAGATTGTCCTCTGTAATCTACCTCAAGTCTCTCATCTCTTTATATCAATATCAAGAACATGTAGAATGTGATTTTATTGTTAAATTATTATTGTGTTTTTCCTGACTTCCTTTTCCTTTTTTGCCTCCAAATGCTTTAGCCATTATAATTTGTGGTCTGAATGCCAATTTTACTACTGCCACTAACCTGCATTGCACAGAATGTTGATTTGTCAAAGTAGACTCAGGCACATCATAAATCCCTCACACCAAAATTCGCCGATGCTTGTTGTATTTATTTAACAAAGTACCACAAGCTGGGTGACTTAGGATAACAGTAATGTATCTCCTATAATTCTGGAGGCCTGAAGTCTGAAGTCATGTTTCTGTAGGGTCACATGCTAAGTAATATTCTAGGGAAAACATTTTTCCATACCTTTCTCTTAGTTTCTGGTGTAGCTGGCAGTCCTTGATGTTCTTTAGTTGGCAGACGAATAACATCAACTTCTGCCTCCATTGTCAAATGATATTCTCCCCCTACATCTTCATATCATCTTTTAAGAAGGACATCAGTCATACTGAATTAAGGGCCCATTCTAGTCCAGTATGACTTTTTTAAAAAAACTATTTATGTCTGTGAGACCCTTATTTTCAAATAAGTTTGCATTCTGTGGCACTGAGAGATAGGACTCCAACTTTTACTTTTGCTGGATGCGGTTCAACCTATAACACTTACCAAATGGTACAAGCGAAAATCAGACACAGACTCAGTATTCTTTTCTAGAGAAGTCTCCAAACTTATCAGATGCCTTTTTTTAATGACCTCTTTTCCCACAGCATAGCACGTTTAACTTTTGGATTCATAGGTGAACACTAACAATCCCTGTGGCACAGATGTGTAAGTTTAGACTTTCCTAAGTCTTATGCTTGGTGAATCATGCAAGGGTGGGGGACTATGTGTTACTTTCCACTTTCTAGCCAGGTTCATTTCTCAATCAATAAATTCTGGGATTTTCAATAATCAATTTAATGAGATCAAACATAGCCTGCTAAGAGCAACCATAGGTGGAAACTTTTCTAGTTACTTCTCAGCTAGAAAACTACTCTGAGTATATTTATAGAAGGCTCTGGTTTATGTCCATAGCACCTCAGGTGTCTCCTAGGAAGGAGAAAATGAGTTACAGGCCCTGTGTGTAATCACCAGATTGCGAGAGGGCTCTAATGATCCCTATTTTTAGGTATTCACATTTTTGTGTAGTTTCCTGTCACATGTTAATTGGATTGGTGTTTGACCAACAGAATATAACAGAAGTCATTATATATGACTTCAGAGACGGGATCATAAAAGATACTGTGGATTGGAGCTTGTTTTTTCTCTAATAAGAGGAGCTGTATCTGATGCCATGAGAACACTCAAATAGTCTTATGAGCTCCAAGCCAGGACCTGAGGCCTCCTGTCAACAGCTAGCAAGGAACTGAGACCTTCTGCCAAGAACCACAGGTGAGCTAGAGTATAAGCAGATTTTCTAGTCCCGGTCAAACCTTCTGATGACTTTAGTCCCAGCGGATATCTTGACTGTACCTTGTGAGAGACACTGATCCCGAACCATCCAACTAAGCCACTATTCAATCCCTGACTCACAGAAACTTTGTGATAATAAATGTGCTAATTTTCTAAATTTGGGGATAGTTTTAATGAAGCAGTAGATAACTAATACACACAGTTAACTTTTTCAGTGTCTTGTAATACTTTTCTCTACTTTTACATATGTTGGGAATCTGCTTTTCTCCTCCCAGAGTATATTTTAAAATTTCTTACTGGTTTAGGAAGGCCAATAACTATCTTTGTATCCATGGTTCTTCAACTTTCTGTCTCCATAATCTGAGCACTGTGATGTCTAGCTACCTACGTCTGAATTTAGCCTGAGTTGCTCTCTGTTTTGTATATGAAAATGCAACAGATAAATTAACTCAAGTTTTGCTAATGGAGTAGGGCAGCACAGAATAAATTCTTGATTGGGGGTAAATAAGAGTGAACTGTTTCGTTTAGAAGAAGGATGAACATCATGCCACTTTCTGATTTGTATTATTAAATACATCCCAGGTTTTAGTTGTTCTGAGATATTGTTATTTAACAATTTTATATTCAATATTCATGTCATTTCCATGTTTCTATAGTTTCACTGAAACTGATTTCTTAGCTTTATTCATGGATTTACACATGCAAATAACACTGAAATGATAATTCCTCAGGGGTTTGCTTTCATTTTAGGACTCCTCTTAATTTCTGTGTCCTAGCTTTGGAGTCATTAGGGATGCCAACTTCATTTATGATTAAAATAGTTTTTTTTTTTAAATATATAGGAAGATTCTAAATTTTGCAAGATTTCTTAAATTCAGTGTTATTCTAGACAAAGAACTTCTTATTTTTACAGAGATGAAATGTACATTAATTACTTATTCTATAGCTCACATTTCAAGTTTAAAATTCTGCTACAGTTTAACCTGCTCTCATTGGGATTGTTCTTTCCATTATGCAGTTTTCATTATATTTTCCATTAGTGAAAGAAAGCAATGACCCAAGGAATCCATGTGTCTAAGACATATAATTTCAGAAAGCAACAACTACATCATTGATTTTTCCCTCCCAAATGATGTGCTGCAAAAGAGAGAAAGGATGTAGAGATTCAGAATAAAATAAGGACATGTTTCAGCAATATGAAACAATTTCACCTCAGATTCTCACTGAATACAGATTTTTTTTTTATTTTCAAAGACATTTACCCCCAAAAAACACAGTCACAGACTCCCCTTTTTCTCTCTGCTTCTCTCTCTCTCCACTTCCTGTTTGGCAGTAATTTTTTATACATATACTACTTTATTTAAAATGTTCTTAAGAGTCTTTTCATAATTAAATAAAATACAAGCTAGCACAATTTAAAAATAGGTGAAAAACGACTTTTATATAAGCTAGTATAAAGGCATGTTTTTCTTATTAATACTTTATCACTGATTTTATTGAAACGCACCACAAAGTTTCTATGTCTAGAGAAACTCTGGAAGGGTGACACTTACTCTTGAGGAATTCCAGGGAGGAAGAGTAAACGAAGAAAGTTGCCAATGGAAATTCTCTTGTATCTGAGAAAAGTAGAGTGATAAGAAAAAAAGGACAGGAGAATCTCATTGTCAGCTTTAATGTTGAAGAATTAAACTACAGAAAGGAGTGAATGATGAGGCAGGAGGGGAACCAACAGTGCGCTTGCCACTCAACTCCAAAACAGTCTAGTCACTGGACTAAGCAATACATTTCAGAGGCCAGGCGCGGTGGTCACGCCTGTAATCCCAGCACTTTGGGAGGTGGAGGCATATGGATCACCCGAGTTCAGGAGTTCGAGACCAGCCTGGCTAGCCTGGCCAACACAGTGAAACCCCGCCTGTACTAAAATTACAAAAGATTATCCAAGCATGGCAGTGGGTGCCTATAATTCCAGCTACTCAGGAGGCTGAGGCAGGAGAATAGCTTGAACCCAGGAGGCAGAGGTTGCAGTGAGCCAAGATTGTGCCACTATACTCCAGCCTGAGCAAAAAGAGCGAAACCATGTCTCCAGGAAAAAAAAAAAAAAAGAAAGAAAAAGAAAAGAAATACATTCTAGGAGGCTCTCTCAAGACAAAGATTTGACAAATTGAAAATCGAAGTCAAAGTAGGGCGCGGTGGTTCACGCCTGTAATCCCAGCACTTTGGGAGGCCGAGGCGAGAGCATCACGGGGTCAGGAGATCGAGACCATCCTGGCTAACCCAGTGAAACCCTGTTTCTACTAAAAATACAAAAAATTAGCCGGGCGTGGTGGCGGGAGCCTGAATTCCCAGCTGCTGGGGAGGCTGCGGCAGGAAAATCACTTGAACCTGGGAGGCGGAGGTTGCAGTGAGCAGAGATCATGCCACTGCCCTTCAGCCGGGGCGACACAGGGAGACTGTCTCAAAAAAAAAAAAAAAAAGGAAAAAAGAAAAGAAAATCCAAGTCAATAATAACAATAATGAAGATGATGACAACAGCAAACACACAGTTCTCGTTCATTGAGTGCCTCATTTGATAAATGATACACTAATTAATAGTGGAAGAACAGCACTAAAGGTCAGTGAGGATAATAATGCTGTACAAAAAATATGGAACCCTCTAGTGCAAATTCACATATTTCATAACAAATAAAAAGAGAGAGAGGAAAAAACATTATCAGAGAAGTAAATATCCCTATCCTTTCATATAGTTCCAGGTATTTCTATCCTACTTCCACTTTGAAGGATTTCTGAACTGCATGCAGTAGTTTATAGAAATCATCAACTCTTACCTTTTGCCATCCTGTCCTGATCCCATATTAAATGCAAGTGCTTAGTAGACTTGGGTTTCTCTCTATAAAATTAAGAAAACGAAGAAATTTCACAATGGTCAAGGAAAGATATTGTCATTTAAAAGGAGAAAAATATTTATAATCCATTTGACAATAGTTATTGCTTGTGTATTATGTGCCAAGAAATGTGCTAGTAACTGGGGAATCAAGAATGAGATCAAAGATGCATGCAACCCCTTCACTAAATTTACTGGGAGAACAAAAATGAGTGTGTTTTTTAAAAAATTCTGGATTCAGTTCTTAGTAAAACTCAATAACATATTGCAACTGTATCAGTAGATACAAATTGAAGAGGAACAATGCCAAAAGACAAGATTGTGGAAGGAAAAGATTATTGAAGTAAAACCTCTGATGGGACTTGTTTTCTCATCTTAAAATTTGTGTTGACTCCTCATCTCCCTCCAGCAGCTATTTTATACCACTCTACCATCATTTCCCCCCACCAACCCCTGATATTACTCTAAGTATTGGAGATACAGTAGTGAAATAAACACTCAAAATGTCCTGCCCTCCTGAAGTTTGTCATCTAGTGGACTTGGAGGTCCTCATCTTAGTTGATTTCCTACAGGCATCAGTTGGAGTTGATAATTATCCTTGAAGTAATCTCTATTTGTTTTAATGGTGTCCCTCTTCCTCTTTGATACTTCTTGTCACCATCCTTTCCTGGGTCATCGTTGGCCTTTGGGGTTTTTATTTTCTCTATTTGCACTTATTCCTAGGTGATATTCTTCAATTGCCTGACGATCAAATATATGTTTCTCACTCTAACTTCTCCACTGAAATAAAGACTTATATGCACAAGTTTCAACTTGTAATTATCATTTAGAAACCAATCATGCCAAGCAAAATGTGTAAATAAATCCTGCTTTCACCTAATATTTTCTATGCCGTCAAATAGTATCAATGTCTTTCCAGTAACTTGAGCTAGAATCTTAAATTCATTCTCGATCTCTCTCTTAAAATGCACATCCAGATAGTTCTCCCTGTAAAATATACACCAAATGAATCTATCAAGTTCTGCATATCACTGTTGCTGTCTCCCATGTCCAAGCCATTAATGTGTCTTGTATGACTCACAGTGACATTTCTGATTCACCAGTCTTCACTCTAATCAATTCGTTTTCCACATAGCAGCCAGCAAAGTCTTTAATATTCTATATTTTAATCTTCATAAAGTGGGATGGTAATTACTTCATCAACTCCTCTAGTTTCTTCAATTTATTGATTCTTTCTATTCCCCTAATATCCTCCAATTTTCATCTGTGTTCATCTCTTTCTTGTCAAAAGAGGAATCTATACGGTACACATATTCTATTATCCAATCTCTTTCCTTAGAGTTATAATACAACATCTGCTTCTAAGTTATTTAAAATATTAGTTTACCAAATATTTTATCTCTCAAGGACATAGAACACTATCTTTCCAGTATTTGACAAAATATTTTTTTACTACCCACCAAGTGGCCATTAAGCCAATTTAATATTTTAACACTGTGTTACATAACATTGTACCAATTTTTAGACTAATCCAACTGAGCTAGATTATGCTGTGACAATAGAACCCTACCATCTCAGTGACATAAAGCACATTCTCACACACACACACACACGCACACACACACTCACACACGCACACACACACTCATGTACCCAAACACACACAACACTATTTCTTGCTCAGAGCAGGCCAATAGGAAAACTCATTATAGTCACTCAAAGACTGAGAGAAGCTTCTCCTTTCTTGATTCACCAATGTCATTACAGCAATGAGAAGGAAATGTCGTGAATCAAACACTGTCCCCTAAAATTTTCTTCCAGAGTGGGGCATTTGATTTCTGCTTACATTTCCTTTGCAATAGCAAGTCACATAGATGTATGTACATATCTGCAGAGGGATTGGGGAAACGCACATCTACCATGTGGCAGAAAGAAGAAAATCAGAAAATACTTGGTGACTAGCACTGTTTTAAAACAATGAACATACACTATTTTATGGAGTTTGGAGTTTGTTCTAAGTTCTAAATGGAGCCACTTAGAGAATGTTAAGCAGGCGAGTGAAACTATCTGATATACATTTTTTAAAGGTTTATTTTCT